AGAGCCCGGGAGGCGCAGGCCGGAGGGAGCCGGGCGCGCAGGGCAGCGGATGGCGGGGACGCGCGGAGGAAGGGGAGAGGCCGCCGGGCGGCGGAGGCGGGGAGAAGGATGGAGAGGCGGTGGCGGGGGGCCCGGCTCCTGCCAGAGGAGACCCCGGTCCCTCCGACGCGGGAGCCGCGGGAGCGGTGAGTCTGCGGCAAGGGAGGTGGCCTGGGGCCGGGTTCCCCCGCGGATTCCAGGATCCCTGAGGGAGAAGGCGGCCGCAGGCCTGGATTTCTGGGTTCTGGAAGGAGGAGGGGGCTGGGAACCCAGACTTCTAGGTCCTGGAAGAAGGGGGTTGGGGACCTGGATTCCGGGGTCCCTGTGGGAGGAGGGAGATGGGAGCTGGGGTGACTAGGTTCTGAGACTGTTAGAGACAGGGGACGAGGTGCCTAAGCCCTCAGGGGAGGTGGAAGAGGACAGTCTGGCTTTGGTGATGTCTCTGGCTGCGGAAGGGTTAACGTCTGGCTGGAGGGGAGGGGGAGGGGCAGGGATGGGGCTGCGGGGCTTTGAGGGGTCAAGGGTGAGCCTTGAGAGTGGGAGGGGGCTGAGGAGGAGGGGGTAGGTTGTCTGGGCTGCCAGACAGGCCAGGGTCAGCGGCGGGGGCAGGGGATGTCTGGCGGAGGAGAGGCCCGCATCCAGGCTCCCTTGGGAACCCGGGATTCCAGGCCCCAGCCCCTCCTCCCTCAGACCCAGGAGTCCAGGCTCCCAGACCCTCCCCTCTTAGACCCAGGAGTCCACAACCCCGCCCCTTTCCCTTCAGAATTCCCCCAGCTCTCTCTGCCTCAGGACCCAGGATTCTAGACCCCCAGCCTCCTCTTCCCTAAGACCTGGGAGTCCACACTCCAGTCCCCATCCCCCTAAGAAACCCACAGTCCGGAACCCTAGCCCCCTCCTCCCTAGGAGCTCGGACCCCTAACCCCCTCTTCGTTTGGAACCCAAGAGTCCAGGCCCCCAGCCTCTTTCTCCCTGGAAGCCAGGAGTTCGGGTCCCCAGACCCCTCCTCCCCCGGAACCCAGGAGTCCCCACCTCCTCTTTAGCCCCAGCTGGAGTCCAGCCCTCCAGGGGTTAAGGGGGCGGGGCCGTTGGTTGCTATGGTGCCAGACTGTTTGGGTCTGCTCTCTGACCCTTGGGGGCTCCCCAGGGTCTGCGGAGAGGGGGAGGGGTACCTAGACCTGAGGGAAGTCCTCAGCCCACCCCTTCCCCAAAGCAGGGCCTGTGGACCAGAGAGTTCGCGTCTCTCCCAAAGCCTTGTCCAGTGACCTTGAACGAGTCCTGACCCTTCTCTCTGGGCCTCAGTTTCCCCAACGAGGAATGTGTTGGGGTTGGGGGGGAGATGCACAGGTCCTGCGAATCTTGAAGATTCTCAGCTTCCCCTCTCTCCTCACCCCCCTCCTCAGGCCCCAGGCAGCCCCGGGGCATGCTGGGAACCCAGGCCTGGGCTCCGGGCCAGGTTGTTGGGGGGGGGGGGCGGGGGCAGCCTCCTCCCTTCCCCTTCCTCCCCACCTTGGCCTGACTCTCGCCCCCGCCTGAGGGTCTGGGAGGTTGGGAAGGAGGGCCGGGGACTGAGAGCTGGGACCGAGGACCCGTCTCTGGCCCCTGCCTGCCTCCCCCTTCCCTTCTCCGCCCCCTTCCCGCCTCTCCTCCCCCTCCTCAGCAGGTCGCTACCCCAGCCCGGGGCCCCTTCTCGAGCCACCCCCACCCCACCCCCAGCTCCAGACCTGGCTCCGAGTGAGCTGCGAGAGGGAGGGAGAGAGAGAAGGAGAAAGAGAGAGAGAGAGAGAGACAAGGGGGAGGCAGAGAGAGAAGGAGAAAGAGAGAGAGAAGGAAAAGAGAAGGAAGGGAGAGAGAAAGAGGGAAGGGGGAGGGGAGAGAGAAGGAGAGAGACTGGGAGGGAAAGAGACCGAGGAGGGAGAGGAGGAGAGAAAGGGAGAGAGACAGAGACTGAAGGAGAGATGGGGGGGCAGGAGGAGGGAGGGAGACAGAGACACCGAAAAGAATGGGGGGAAATGGGGAAGACAGAGAGGAGAGGGAGACAGAGAAATTGAGGGAGAAAGAGACTGAGGGTCTGAAAGAATGAGAGAGACAAAGACCGAGGGAGGAGGAGAAAGGGGGGGTGAAAGAAGGGATAGAAAACGGAGCAGGAAAGAGAGGGAAGACGAAAAGAAGAAGGGGGCAGAGGAGAAGGGAGGATGGGGAGGGAGAGACAGACTGCGAAAGACTGCGTGGTAGAGAAAAGACAGAAGGGGAGAGCCCAGGGGGAGAAAGAGGGAGACACAGACTCAGGCAGGAAGAGACTGGAGGCAGGTAAGACAGAAACCGCGAGAGACAGCCCGAGAGTGCGGAATAGAAAAAGGGCACGGTCAGAACAAAAATTGACAGCAGAAAAGACTGCAGGAGAGCGTGGGGCAGTGGGAGCAAGAGTCAGAGACCCAGGCCCAGGGAGAGGCCCCCAGGTGGGCAGCCAAGCGGTCTGCAGGGGGGCTCTGGGGTCCCAGGGCCCGGTCTGGGAGGCCTGGCCCCTCCCACTTTCAGGCTGACATTGGGGAAGTGCCTTCCCCACTGGGAGTCTCGGTTTCCTCACCTGCCAAATGGGGATGCTCCTAGCACCTCCCTCTTGGGACTGCCTGGGGTGTCAGTGAAGCTCTGGTGCTGGCTCCTGATGCAGTGTTAGCCTCAAGAAATCATAAAGGATGAGGCTTTGATGGTTCCAGACCCCCTGGCCCCCCTCAGGCCCTGGTCCTGGACTCCTTGGAGCCTGACACAGTAGGAAGTAACCTTGGCCGAGGGGTCAAACGCCAAGACAGGTGAGGTTCCCTCTTATTGGGCTGTGCTGCCTTCCCCAGGGAGGCAGGCCTGGCTGTACCCCTGGGTCTTGGGTGGGGGGGTGGCCTGAACTCCTGGGAGGAAGGACATCTGGGGGCCAGGACTCCTGGATCTGAGGGAGGAGAGGTGGCGGGGGTGGGGGGGCAGGACTCCCAGGTCTAAGGGAGGAGGGCCTGGGGGCTGGGATTCCAGGGATCTTTGGGGAGGAAGGGACTGTGAGCCAGGCTCCTGGATCCCTTGAGGGCAGAGGGGGCTGTGGTCTTGGATTCCTGGGTCTGAGGGATAAGACTCGGGGTGGGGGGGCAGGGACTCCAAGGGCCTTTGAGGAGGAGGGGGCCAGGGTCCTGAACTCCTGGATCCCTGGTGAGGAAGGGGCTGAGGTCAGAACTCGTGGGTCCCCTGGGGGAGGGCTATTCCTGGGTCTGAGGAATAAGAAGACCGGTAGGGAGCCCAACTCCAAGGACCGTTGGGGAGGAAGGGGCCAGGGACTGGGGTACCAGACTCCTGGGTCCCTTGTGGAGGAGGGGGCCGGGGGTCCAGACACCTGGGTCCTGGCACCCACCCGTAGAACCGACCTTGCGGGGCCTTCGCCGCACACAAGCTCGTGTCTGTGGGTCCGTGTCAGGCTCACCATCACAGCCAGGGCCTCCGGCCCTCCCCGCCCTCCGTGGCCCTCCTGGCCCCCGTCTGTCCGTCTGTCTGTCCATCCGTCCACCTGCCGCGCCCCCCGGGCTGAGGTAGGAGGTTGTATAGTTGAGGAGGACACCCAAGGAGATCACTATACGGCCTCCTAGCTTTCCCCAGGCTGCGCCCTGCACGGGACGGGGGCCCAGCCAGGACCCCCAGCCCCTGGCTGCCCCACCTGCCGGGGCTCAGGGGTCTGCTGCAGGGACCCTGGGAGGAGGAGCTGGGCTGTCTCTTCTGTTGGCTCCCTGCATCCCCTCCTCCGTGCTTAAAGTTCTCTCCCATTAAACCATCCATCTCCGTTTGCTTTCTCTGTCTCCCCATTTCTGTTGTGTCCCTCTGTCTCTTGCACTCACAGCCTCTCTTCGTGGTGGCTTCTGTGTCTCTTTCTCTGTACAGTGGTCTCTCTGACCCTATCCCCATCTCTCACCCTTCCTCTATCTCTCCATCTGTCTGTCTCTGGCACTCACGGTGTCTCTGTCTCTCTACACAACCTCCCTGACAGAGTCCTCATCTCCCTCTGTCTCTCTGTCTCTGTGTCTGTCTCTGGCACTCTCCATCTCTGCCTCTGTACCCCTGGTTCTGTCTCTGACCACACCCCACCGTCCCTTGTGGCCGCCCCACCCCACGCCGCCAGCCTCTGGGTCCCTGAGACCCTTTAACCTGTGAAGATGTTCAGGGTCACAGGTGAGGTTCTTGGGAGCCTGGCGTCCGGCCCAACCACCAGCCTGGGGATTACCGGCCTGACCCCCGACCCCTCATAGCCTTCCTCCCTAAAAACCCAGAGCCTGACATTTGACCACCAGCCGAAGCCTGACCTCTGATTCCACATCCACCAGCCCCTCCCCCACCACGCAGTGACCTCACAAAGGTCACCAGCTTCTCTCTAGGCATTGAGACCCTCAGCTATGGCCCTGCTGGCCCCTGTGAGCATTGTCCCATCTGCGCTAGTGGCCGTGGTGGTCATCACGGCCCCCGCCTGGGCCTGCCTCCTCTGCTTCACGACCTACTCTGAGCGCCTTCGCATCTGCCAGATCTTCGTTGGGATGGAGGAACCAGCGCTCGAGAAGTGTGAGGACGCATTCACAGCCACCTTCAAGGGCCTCCGCGACATGGAGATCAGTGAGATCCTCCTTTGGGGCCCTGGGGGGCGTGCAGGGCGGGGACCAGAGAGGCCTGGAGAGAACCAGCCAAAGAGACACCTAGGGAAAGGGACAGACAGATAGACAGAGAGGAGCAAGACTCAGAGACGGAGAAGAGCAACAGAGAGACCCAGAGAGAGACACACAGTGAGAGGTGGGCATCGATGGGGCAGAGACTTAGAGAGAGGGATAGAGATTCAGACAGAGGGGGACAGAGACCCAGAGAGAGGGGAGGACAGAGACCGAGAGAGAGGGGAGGACAGAGACCCAGAGAGAGGGGGACAGGGACCCAGAGAGAGGGGAG